AGGTTTGATATAAACACTAAACTAATATTAGATTATATTTAATATCAAAAAATTTTTTACATAAAACTGATATTTTTTAGTTTCAGTAATCAAACGATTGCCACCGGTTTTAGTGAATTACATATACCACTAGTAATGGGTATAACGCTATTTATTATGTGTTTATTATACGCCGATTATTATGTGTGGAAAACAATCAGTGGTTTGAGTGATGGGTTGCGGGCATTGAAAGCATCGAAACTTACCGTTGAATCCGATGTCAAACAATTGGCCCAACAAATCAATGCACAGAATATAAGGTTTGTGTTTAATTGTAATTATTTGCAAAATTGTAAATAAATTTAAATTATTATATAAACAGATGTCCAGCGAGTGATTTCTCTTCAAGTACTTCATCGATCGGATCCCACAATCAATTGACCACTAATTCAGACAAAATCAGTGATGATATCAATATTCGGGAAACGTTTCAGAAAATTGAGAATCAAATCAAAACTCAATACCAAATGACATACACTTTATTGAAGGCTTTGGTTATAGAAAATGAGTTATCGTTGACAGCAATCGAAGACATCAGACAATTGGCCGAAGACTCGGATGACAGCGAATCCATGGCTAGTGTTAGTCCGATATAAGACAAGTCTATAAATTGTTGTCTAAATTATAAGATAATTTATATTTAATTCTATTTTATAATAAAAAAATTAACATAACTAGAAACTTGTTTTAACTAATAATAAATATCAATTTATTAATATTTGTAAAAATTATTACATTTATTATTGTGTATAAGTTGTATGCTATTGACTAAAAGTATATGTGTTAAACTTACATTCAAAATGAATATAATAAAATATACATTAAGATTAATGATTTAATTTACTTAAATGAATATTTAATTGTTGTTTTGTAACAAATCGTTGATTACAATTATTATAAATACATTTATGGCTTTTTGTATTATTATGAAATTTTATATGGGTTTTGAGATTAGATTTTTGTGAAAAACCTTTGTTACAATTATTAAAATGACAAACAAATGGTTTTTCTCCCGAATGGATGCGTTTGTGTTCAATTAGATTTCCGTTTCTAAAAAATCTTTTGCCACAATTTTCTTCATTACATTTGAATTTCCTTTCATTCAAATGAACACAACTTTTGTGATCAAATAAATGCTGGTTTGTGTTAAAGCTTTTGTTGCATTCATTGAAATCACAAATAAATCTCAAATTTAAATTTAAATGAATGCTATTTTTGTGACGAATTAAATTTTTGTTATATTTAAAAACATTATTACAATTATTAAAATTACATTTAAATTGTTTTATTTCTGAATGAATTGATTGATGTGTTGAAAGACATCCCTTATGTAGTGTCTTGTATTGACATTTAGGCCAAAAACAGTGGAAATAATCATCAGATTTAGTAATGATATGACAATTGTTTAGCATTTTATCACTGATTTTACATGAATTGCAATCAATTGTTTGATTGATTGAAAAATAATCATTATTTTCGCATTCAATCGCTTCACACAAAACACTATTATTTGTATTCAAAATACACTGAATTTTGTCTATTATTTCACACAAACTCTTCATTGCATTGAATTTACTCTTCATTTNATTTTCACTGTTTTTGGCCTAAATGTCAATACAAGACATTATATAAACATGCGATGGCATCACATGAATTAATTCATTCAGAAATAAAACCATTTAAATGTGATTTTATTAATTGTAATAAATGTTATGCATTGAAAACGCAATTAACTGACCACAAGAATGCCAGTCATTTAAATGTGAGATTTATACTGTATGTGATTTCAATGAATGCCACAAAAGTTTTACACAAAAATCTGTTTTATTTCGACACAAAAGTTGTGTTCATTTGAATGAAAGGAAATTCAAATGTAATGAAGAAAATTGTAACAAAAGATTCAACACAAAAGTGTGTCTCATTCGACACAAACGCATACATTCGGGAGAAAACCCATTTGTTTGTAATTTTAATAATTGTACCAAAAGATTTTCTATAAAATCTAATCTCAAACCCCATATGAGAATTCACAATAATATAAAACACTATAAATGTATTCATAATGATTGTAATCAACGATTTTTTACAAACAAACAATTAAATAATCATTTAAGTAAATTAAATCATTAAACTTAATTTATGTTTAATTATATTCATTTTGAATGTTATTTGAACATATAGTTTTAATTAATAGCATATACTTTATAATAATAATAAATGTAATAATTTTTAAAAAATATATACTAAATGTAATTATTTTTTACCAATATTAATAAATTGACATTTAAATATTTATTATCAATTAAAACAAGTTTCTAGTTATTATTAAATATCATTGAATATAAAATTATCTGTTAATTTAAACAACAACTTATAGACAATGCATTATATTGTCTTATATCGGACTAACACTAGCCATGGATTCGCTGTCATCCGAGTCTTTGACCGATTATGGCTTCGAGTGCTGTCAAAGACTTCTCTATCACTATAAGTATTTTATTCAAATTTTGTCGCAATAATTGACGTAATTTAGTTATGTTTAACCAAATCTAATAATAATTATACTGAAAATACAAACTTATGTGATATCATGGAAACAAAAATAGGATTAATTATGTTATTATAAAGTTTAATATAATTCAATGAAAAGTTTGTTTTAAAAGATGACAGCGAATCCATGGCTAGTGTTAGTCCGATATAAGAAAGTCTATAAATTGTTGTCTAAATTAAAAGATAATTTATACTTAATTCTATTTTATAATAGCATGGGTTAACATAACTAGAAACTTGTTTTAATTCATAACGTATAATTCAACGGATTCGCAGTATTAATACAATGATAATAACGTTAGGATTATTACTAATAATTAAATTCTATTTATGTTAAGATATGTTATAAGAAAATCAAATTAAATAATGAATAAAATGATATTTTAGAGAATTTATAAAACAATACAAAAATGTCAAAATTATTGTCTTAATTGGGATGTGAATCAACATTAGCCATGGATTCGCTGTCATCCGAGTCTTCGGCTAATTGTCTGATGTCTTCGAGTGCTGTCAACGATAACTCATTTTCTATAACCAAAGCCTTCAATAAAGTGTATGTCATTTGGTATTGTGTTTTAATTTGATTCTCAATTTTCTGAAACGTTTCCTGAATATAGATATCATCACTGATTTTGTCTGTATTAGTGGTCAATTGATTGTGGGATCCGATCGATGGAGTACTTGAAGAGAAATCACTCGCTGGACATCTGTTTATATAATAATTTAAATTTATTTACAATTTTGCAATTAATTACAATTAAACACAAACCTTATATTCTGTGCATTCATTTGTTGAGCCAATTGTTTGACATCGGATTCAACGGTAAGTTTGGATGCTTTCAATGCCCGCAACCCATCACTCAAACCACTGATTGTTTTCCACACATAATAATCGGCGTATAATAAACACATAATAAATAGCGTTATACCCATTACTAGTGGTATATGTTAGACTTGCAACTTATTTTCCCCGTAAAATATTTCCCCGTGGATTCCCCGTGTCCTCCACGGGGAAATTACGGGGAAGGGAAATGAGAATGACTTTACGGGGAAGGGAAGGGATTCCCCGTAACAAGTAGAGGGAATCCCCGTAACAAATATTCCCCGTAAATTCCCCGTAATTATGCACAAACATTTTGCAGTAAATTCTTTATTTTGCAAAATCTATTGAAATAAAGATAATTTTGCATCAAAGGCTGCCGTCAAAACACACACATATGTTTGAATATCACTAACAATACTTCTGGCAAACATATAAAGTGTTATTTAACGTAAATATGAGATAAAGGGCGGTAAAATAGTGAAAAGCACCAAAAATATAACTACGGGGAAATTACGGGGAATCCCCGGGGTTCCCCGTTAGTCTGTACGGGGAAGGGAAGGGATTCCCCGTAAGCCTAACTTACGGGGAACGGGGAAGGGAAGGGAAATGAAAATTAGCAAAAGTTGCAGGTCTAGTATATGTAATTCACTAAAACCGGTGGCAATCGTTTGATTACTGAAACTAAAAAATATCAGTTTTATGTAAAAAATTTTTTGATATTAAATATAATCTAATATTAGTTTAGTGTTTATATCAAACCTTNTAATCTAATATTAGTTTAGTGTTTATATCAAACCTTTTATCAAATATTTTGTTCAAAAACTTTTCTTTTAAATCATTGATCTCTTCAGTCATTGTCTCAATTGAATCGATAACTGACTTGAGCTGTGCTTTTAATGCCTTCACTTCGGACTCATTCCTCGACTTTAAAGCCGACATCTCTTCACTTAAAGCACTGTTTTTTGCCGAGAATTCACTCAAATCTCTGACCACTTCTTGATTACTAAAAAACATATAAAAGTGTTTTGAAATAAAATATAGAAATTGTTTAGAAATTATAACAAACTTTTGTCTCAAATCTTTGATCTCTGTCTCCATTGAATGCAATGCTGTGTTGAGCTGTGCTTTCAATGTCTTCACTTCAAATACAACTGTTATTTGTGAAGACAATACAATATAAACAGCCAATAATACGAACAAAACAAACAGTGGTGTCGAATACCATTTAAATTGAAATACATTGTTATTTCTAAAAAATATTGTATGTAAAAAAATTAAATCAAATATTTATTAATCGATTTTATCAAACCTTTTATCAGAAATCCACTGCTTTTGT